CGCGAACGTAAAGAAGATCGGGGTCCTTCGGGGTGCACACGCGTATGCGAACGGACGCGCTTGGTTTTTTTCATTCGAAAATAGCTTATGTACACGTGTAAACCGTACTCCGTCCACGGCATTAATCGGCAAATACATTCGAGTTTAGAAATCGTCAGCTAAATAAAATAAAAAGCGAGCAGCGAGCGAGCGACCAGCCATCCCGGTCGATCTTGGGCGTCGATCAAGGACGTTCGTTTCAATACGCGAAGAGAGACAATTGGCCTCTCTTTCTCTTTGCTTATTGTACATCGCGAAGAACTCAAAGGAAACGGTATAACATACTACAATTTGTGACGAACCTTCGGTCCGTCGATCGACCATGAAGACGGCTGGTCGCGTCCCTGTTCAAACCGATGCAACGCATAGGATATATCGAGAATACGCATACGGATATTTCCCTGAGACTGATCAGAACGATTGGATATTCCTCTGTACACACGGAGAGACAAATGAAACGCGTGCGCGAGCGAGCGAGCTCGGATTTTGCTAAAAAAAAAAAAAAAAAAAAATAAAATAAAAAAAAATAAAAACTTGTAGAAGCTTCCCTGTCTATGGATACGTAGGAGTTTCACCCTTTCACATCGTTTTCCATCTTTCGTCCCGGCACGTGTCGAATATCTAGCACGCCTCCGAAGCTATATAAGTACGTAGAGATCGGTTCCATCGACGTATCCGAGGAGACTTGCCTCGCGGATCGAATGCGCCGATGATTCTTGGAACACGTTCACTGCTGGACGTTCGTGGCCCTTGAAACGTCGTTTGCTGCTCGTCGTTTCTCGTGGATCAGTGATGTAGAGGAAATTAGCTTGCTAATTAGATTATTTCTTTTATAACAGAGAAAAGGGAAAAAAGTAAAAGAAGAAAGACCGTGGGAACAAGGTAGAACTAGACAACAGTGAACGCGTTGGTCGCAACGAGCAAACGAGATTGAACATAATCTGGAACGGAAACCGTTAATTCGTGGATCAATCGCGAGTTTCGATGAAGAGTTATTGCACACTGAACATTGCGATCGCGTAACCCTTGTAGGCATCTCAGACTCAACGAGACGCTAACGACACAACAACAAGCAGACTCGCGAAATTGCACATCCCAGAGGAAAATAAAACGAAAAAGGAAGAAGAGATTAACGATAAAGAGAACGTAAATGCTCCATATATATTTCGACGATTAGTAAACGCTTGCTTAAATCTAGAAACGGTAAACATGTAACCGAGTTATACTTTAATTGACTCGCTAGTACCTAGTAAAAAAAGAAAAAAGTGAGAAAGAGAAAGACGGAGAGAGAGAGAGAGAGAGAGAGAGGGAGTGAGAGAGAGAGAAAACGAAAACGAAATTAATTAAAAACAACGATGGCCAACAACGCGAGGAAGCTGATAATCCGGTATTTCACACGTTCCACAACATTTTATTCAAAAATGAACGATGAAAACGCACGCGGTGTTTCGAGCTCCCTATTTCTTTCACTCTCTCTCTCTCTTTCTTTCTTCCTCACTCTCTCTCTCTCTCTTTCTCTCCCTTTCTCTCTCATATCGATTCCTTTTCAACGAAAAAATAGAGTAACGCGTGGACGTCCACCAAGTTCATCGCGATTAAAATCTACTCCGGAGCACGGACGACATCCGTCGCGGGAACTTTGTCCACTACACGTTCGCAAAAATTGTTCGAACCGTTCCCTTCGAATCGTTTAAACAAAATTATCGTACAAGAAGTTCGAACAGGACGACGATGTTCGCTTCGTCGGAAGCATCGTCGGAGACTCGATCATCGTTCGACTCGCAAGAGATGTATCGATAAAATATCACGTCGACGTGTCCCCCGTATGGGGACATCTGTAAATAAATACTGCTAGTAGAACGTGTCGGAAAACACTGCCATCTTGTCCTTCGATCGAATATCGACGTAATACGTACTGCTCGGTACATATTCGTTCAATCTACTCTGGTTCTGTTCTCTCCGCCTCGGAACAGAATCAGTAGAGAGTAATTCGATGCCGATCGAATGAAATTTCTCGCTCGAGTGTCAACAATCGAGCTAAGAAAGTTATACTTTCCATAGCCGGGAAGGAATTTTCCTCGATTCGAGTTCAATCGGTAGCGGTTGTCTTGTTAGCCTGCCGCGTTCTCGCCTGCCTCTCGCGTTTAGGCGAAACGCTCGAGCTCTTCTTCGAGGTTTCCTTCGCGGCGGAAGTCGACGGTTTTGCCTGGGGCAACGATCGCCCCAGCGGCACCTCCTGTCACCTCAGGCTGATCACCACTTTCTCCACGTTCAGCAGGGACCTCACTTTCTCGTTGTACTTGATCAGGGTCACCTTCGACCCCCGCACGTTGATGCGCTCGCCGCCGCTTAGCAGGTGGCAGCAACGGGACTGCTCCAGGAAATCTTGCAGCTTCAGTTCTCTCATGACGTCGCGATGAGCGATGGCGGGCGGGCCAGCGTGAGCTTTCGGATTCACTTGACGCAGCAGCGCGTCTCTGCTCTTTATTCTCAGGGCAGCCATCAGGTCCTGGAGCAGCACCCATTTGTCGGGATCGTTGGCGAGAGAGAAGAGAACTGGCAGGTTCACGTCGCTCACTTCCATCTCGATTTCGTCCAATTCGGGCTCTGGATTGTCCATTGGCGGGTCGTCGACAGGATTGTAACCAGTCTCTTCTGAGTCTGAAACGGAATAGATTTATTAATCGTGGTATTCGGTTGATTAACTTTTGAGGAATAAGTAGTTGAAGGTGATCGGGTAGTCTCTTTCTCTCTTTCTTGTGAATAAAATTACTTATTATCTTCCTTTATCGAATATTTTAGCTTTTTCAATTATGCTTAATAATTGGAGAGATATTATTGTTATATATTTTTTATTTTATAAATGACTAACAGTAAACGCAAATTATTGTATAAATTTGCTGTACAGTAGAAATTCTGTTATTTAAATTCAACTAATAAAACTGACAGTCAACTCGTTATAATTTCCAAAGTTTCGTAATGATTCTAAGCTTTATTTGCTTTTATTTCTTAAAAATCAGCAGAAATTACCGAAAATAGAAGACGGACCGCCGAAAGACCACGCTGTACTCGCTCGGCCCTGGATATCGTCTAAGTGCTGCTGCAGAATTGAATAGGCATCGGTATCTGCAGCCAACATCAGTGGAGTTTGTCCGGAATAAGTAGCTAATAAGGGATCAGCGCCGTAGGAAAGTAACAAGCGTACGAGTTCGGTAGCACCATTTTCTGCTGCCTCGTGAAGTGGCCTGTAATGATAATAATAAAAAAAAGAAAACATCAATTGCTGCCTCATTACAATTACGTAAAATAACGATTAAAATTAGTATTCGTTTGTATGACGTTGGTCGCTGAATGCATTTCAACAAACGTTAGCATGTTATGAATAAAAATATATATATATATATAAAGTGTCATTTAAGAATAATTAAAACTTGAGCTTGAAACCTTTCCCAATATATACTTCACCAATGTAAAAAATACTATAAAGCTACTATAAATAAAATAATAAAATAATATAAAGCTAAATTATGAAAATTAAGAAGAAAAAAAGGATCCTCCTTTAAATCGAGCAACTTTTATAAAAAGTAATTTCTTAATGACTTTAATCCCTTCTAAAATATTCCATTTTATGAAATCCGATAGTGTATTTGTATTGGATGAAAAAAGTTTATTATGATAATTTGGGGAAATGACGATTGGAAATCACCTTATTCCACCGTTGGCACTTTCACTCGCGTTCGCGCCGTACGCGAGCAACAATTTCGCGATTTCGAGATGACCCTTGGAACAGGCTTCGTGCAGGGGCGTGTAACCCGCGTTATCCTTCGGACTCGGCGCGTTATTCAGTTTCTCCAAGCAGTATGCAGTGACATCCTGCGAACACGGCAGGTGTAAAAAAAAAAACGCACTTTATATTTAAATATTTATCAATAAATATTTATATCACTAAATTGAGATGGAATTTCCAATGAATAGATGTTTTTCTCAACAAATATTTACCGTGTAACCGAGCCTGGCGGCACGGTGCAGCATCGTTTCGCCGACACCCTTTTTGATCACCCACGTTCTAATCTCAGACTGTATGTCAGCTACGCATTCTGGACTGGGCCTCGCTAGAACTTGCTGCGAAACAAATATTTCCCAGTTGATAATCACTCGTGCACTTTTAAACAGCCTTATATTTTAATGTTCTATTACTTTTACAATTTAATTTTTTAAATTGTAAAAGTTTCTCTATCAAATATAGATTAAATATACATTAATTAATAATATATTACATCTATTAAATATAGAGAATTTAATGTTTCTCTCATGTAATATATTATTAATTAATATGATATAATATTCTTCTATTTTTTTCTTTTCGTCTATTATAATTTTTTACCACCATGACATATTACAAAAAGATTGTATTATGTCTACCTATGTTCTGTCGAATTTTCTTTTTTTCTTTATATCCTCGTATTTTTATGCATTTTTTTTTTTTTTTTTTTTTTTTAGTATCTTACCAGATCTATTAAACGATAAATGCACAGTAAAGAGAATGATATAAATATTTCAAAATCTATTTAGAAACTTGTTTTGTAAAAGTAATAAACAAATTTTCTAATCTTCTGTTCTCAATTTATAAATTCATCTTTGATGATTTTGACGTTCCTCCAACACAGGAGCGAATTTTTCAAAGTTGAAACTTCTGAAATACATCGGCGATGGTTGAAAATATCGCGAAAAACTCACCCTCTTCCTTTCTTTCGGCAGCGCCTCGTCTTTCTTCAAGGGTTTCTTCTTCTTGCGAATATAATCGAACCCGGAGCGGAATTTCCGCCTGCTTGTCCTTAGCTTGAGCTTCTTTTTGTTAGGAACTTCTGACTCGTTGATCTCGTCATCCAGCTCATTGTCATTGTTCTCTGCCTCGTGAGCGTCGTTCGCCTCTTCCTGCGCCGGCTCCTCTTCCGCCTCCGTCTTCAATCGGCGTAGCTTCTTCTCGGCCAACGATTTCAACAAGTCCTTTCGGTTCTTCATCAGCAGATGACGCTGCTTCGAGTTAATAAGCGCCTTGTGCCTCCTCAAGATACTAGCGTTCTTCAATCGCGACACCACCTTCTGCTTCAACGTCCTCTCCTTGCTCAGTCTGTTCTCCGGCGTTTCGTTCTGCGAGTCTTCGTCCTGAGACGTGTCGTCGTGATTCTGCATAGGCGGTGCTGAGGCTGGCCTGTCTTCCCCGAAAACTTCACGGATGGTCGCCTGTTTCTTCAACACGCGCGTCTCCGTTCTCGTTCTGCTCTTCAGCACCAGCGTGGAGAACTCGTTCGGCAGAGCGTGATTATTCTTGAACGTGTCGCGGAAGTTGTTCACCGTTTCCTTACGGAAGTAACCGAGTAGAACCGAGTCTGTCATTTTGATGGCCTTCACCTTGTTATCTTTGACAAGCGATTTGCCCTTGGGCAATTTTGTCGACTCCAGCAGAGGGGTCAGGCTCGGTGTCGGAAGCAATTCGGGTTCGTTGTTACCTTTCTGCAGCGTTTTACCCCCACCTTTGTCCAATTTATCCTGTTTCTGTTTCCTCTTTTGCTCCTTCTTGTTCGTCCCTACCTTTTGAGCCAACACGTCGACGATCGAACTGTTCTCTGACCTCGAGTGCTTCATACCCTTCGGGGGACACGAGATCGTCGTGGACGACGTGGCCTCCTCGTCGTCTATCTTGCTTCCTATTCCAATTCCGGTGGTACTGAAACTATAGTTGGACTCAACGTCACTGTCTACCAGTTTCTTTCTGCTCAGATACACGTCGGAACTGTCCATGGAGACGGACAGAGCTGGGGAACCGGGGTCCAAATCGGGCAACGAGGTGGACAGCCTGTGAAACCTCGACGGTCTCGACACGGTGATCAACCTAGGTGGCATTCTCAATGATTTCTTGTAAACGTACACTTCCTCCTCCCAGCCGGGCCTGAAATCACTGCCGTCTCCGAACAGAGGTTTCGGCTTTCCTTTCTGAGACGCCGACGAGGTCTTTGAAGTCGAACATTTGGACTCCTTTTCGTTCTTAGCCTTCTGCGGCGTCGCGTCCCTCGATCTCAGCTTCATTCCCTCAGACTCCGCGCTGCTGTTGTTGTTGCAACGCTTCCTAGCTCTAAGCCTATCGGCCACGGAAGAACCGTGACCGAACTCGGTGCTAGCGTCGCTCTCCTCGCTGGAAGATTCACTGCCGCTCGACGATTGCAATTTGATCCTGCTCCCTCTGCGAACTCTTCTCTTCCTGCATATTATCTCCTCCTCGCAGTCACTGTCGTCCTTCCTCATCTTCTTCTTCGCCCGTCGAATCAACGGCACCTCGTCCGAATCGTCGCTGGAATTCTTGTCTTCGTCGTCCTTGCTCGCCTCGGGCTCCATCTTCACTTCCACCTTGATGTCCTTCATCTCCGACGAAGGCTCGTCGTCCTTGCTGGTTTCCGGGAACTCGTCCTTACCGTCCACAGGCGAATCGACGTCCTGGATCTCCTTCTTGATGTCCTCTGGCTTGATTTGCGACGTGTTGGCGTCTGCCGCCTCCTTGCCGTCGGCGTCGTTCCCGGCGTCTTCGAGCTTGGACGTTACGGTGCAGCTAACTTTCTTCTTACGGCCGCGCTTCTTCATCGCGTCTCCCGTTCGAAGTTGCTCTATAAACTTGTCGCACGTGGCCGACCAGAACGTGTCCACCTCGGCGATCTTGTCGTTTTCCTGCGGATGGCAGATCGGGTTAACTGGGGGCATTCTTTCTGGATTGGTAATCGGCGTTCTTGTGCGAGAAATCTATCGGAAACTTTTAAGAAACTGTTGATCCGTGAGCGAAAGTTACATTTCCTCGCTCTTGTCCGGTTACTACAAAATATCTCGCGAAAAGAAACTTATCAATTTTTAACAAATTAATTATTCAGTTGCAAAGATCCTCCGAATATATTGAAGGAAGTCTGTGTGCGATTTATAATCATCTGATGGATAATTATGTCGCTGTAAGGCAACAAAGTTAGCGAATTATTTAGCATTAGAATTAATGTTAAAATGCTTCAAAGAGCAATGAAATATTAACAAAAAACGTAAAACGATAAGTTTCATAGAAAGCAGTTTGCATTTGAAATTTTATTCACAATTCACACTGAGGAATTCAGATTGAAAGACCTGAGATAAAGTTTCACGTCGGAAAGTCGAAACAACGAAAAGCGAGATTATTCCCAGCAACGAGACGGAATCCTCGCTCTAATTCCATAACAAACGACGTACCGCCCTGATTCCGCCCTGAGTATCCGCTAAAAAATTCGCAATAAAAATCGCCGGAACGTGTTCAAGACGTCGAGCCTCGGCGAAACACGCGAATGACGATCTTACGCAAATAACGTTACCTTCAGTTCTATTTGCACGAGGTCCGTCGATGAGGTCATACCCATGCACATGGCGTCGTTCAAAGGAACGGGTGGCTGCACCTTCGACAGCTGTTTCCTGTCCCTCCTCATCTCCTCGAGCGTCTGCCGTTCGAGAACCGGCATCTCACCCTCGGAGTCGCTCTCCCGAAAGTCGAATACCGAGGTCTCGGACGAGCTTCTGAACCCGCTGGCGCGTGCTGGAACGCTGGAGGCGATGGTAGGCGCTGGCGCCGGAACCGGAACCGGAACCGTCGCAGCCACCGGCATGTTCTCCTCTTCCGTTCTGGAGAACAAGCGTCTCCGTGGTGGCAGACAGGCCACCTTCTCGCGCGTCAGTTTCGGCGGGCTACTTGCCGACGAACCGGACTGCGGCGTCGACGTTGAAGCTGCGCTGTCCAGCTCTGTACGTGCGGGTATCGCAATGTTAAAAAATAGTTTTACCAGAACGCTTCATTCTTATTATCATATTGCAACGGACACGCTTCTATTATTGTAAAATTTAATGTTTATTACAGAATTAATATTTGTTGTTGTTGTTATTATTATTATTATTTAGAGAATTTAGTAAATGACGAATATTAGGAATGGACGTTACTTTTCCTATTAAGCAGAGTAAATTTTTTAAAAGTATTGAAAAGCGAAAAGAAAATTGGCGATAATATGTAATCATATTTTTTTAGATAAGATAATTCAAGAACAATAGGTTGAGTAAGATAAGTTCGCTCGCGTTTCCTTGTCGTAGAATTTGTCTAATTAAGAAATATCCTAATTTCTTTGTAGATATATATTAATATATGTTCATCTTTTGGGTATTTTAAACAATTTTCGTAACTTCCGAATAATCAAAAAGATGAATGAATTTATTATTCAATTCGTTACAGGCTACCATCAAACCAATATAAAAACTATTTACGATGAATATGTACTTTAAACGCTTACTGAAAACGCGATGTAATTTTGACAAATGTCAGTACTAGCATTAAGCGTTATAAGGCATGTATATATGTATTTTTAAAAAATGTAAAATCGCAAAATCGTGTAGAATGATTACAGTGACGTGTGGACGGAAGTATTTAGTACGTAAACTAACCGAGATCCTACTTTATAAACTACAATATGCAAATATAGATTTATAATCTTGTAAATTTTGTCTGGGCACGAATTTCTACGAAAGAAAAAAATCCCATATACGAAACTGAATCTAAAACCTACCTCTCGCAGTGGACGACGCATCCTGGGACGGCATGGTCGTCGGTTTCGTTGCGAATTGGCCGGTTCCAACCTTCAAAAACGCACTATACGTTAACAAATAGGAACAACAAGAGGAAAAAAGTAAACCACCAAATCAATGAACTGCCAAATGAACCTTCACGGAGAGCGTAAAGGGGTGTAATATATTTCTCATTGCGTGTTCCCTCACCTGTTTCAGTTCCGCCTTGGTTCTGATCTTCGCGGCTAGTATGGCTGCGAAACCATCGTCTTTGTCACGGTGAATCTGATTCTCAGCTCCTCGGGGTCCCAGGAGTGCTTCCTTGCCAGGTAGCGTGGCGGATGAATTTACTCTCGAGCCATACAAACTACGGGGTGCCTCCTGAGTGATCGAGTCCACCGCTCTCGGCATATGGAACTTGTAATGGGGCGGCGTGTTGCTGTTTCGTTCCAGCAAGCTCGCCGCCGTGAATGGTGACAGGTTGTGTCTTCCGATGTTCGTTTTGGGCTCGACCGGTGCGACAACCTTCGGGAATAGAGAACAGCGACGTTAACGCAATAACAGACAGTGTGTTGTATCTTCTCTGTTTCTTTCGTGGCACGTCACCCGTTACATTCATGATCGTTTCGTGCGAGATATCGATTTTGATGCGAGACAAAGTACTTCCAATACTTAATTTCAAGAAAAAACTGATATGTATTTGGAAAAATTTCGCGAGATTATTTCAACTTATCGTCGCTTGCGTTCGAAGAAGTTGAAATATATATGACACGTGTCGATAAGAATTATGCTCGAACGACGAGGTGTAATTTTTAAGTGAAAACAGTACGTACACACGATCGTAATACAGTCTAAAAGCGAGAGACACGATTCATAGTTGCAACACAGTTGCTCGTAGACTAATTCAATCAACTAGATGTTAATTAACCAAATAATTGTCAAACTTCAAACTTCCACGCAAGCTACGACATCCAACAGTGCGATCGCTGTACAGCAATACGCAGCAACGTACCTTATTTTGAAAACTTTGTTGCCCGTGATTGGCCAAAATCGGCTGCTGGCTGTTCATCTGCTCCTCCCTCTGCTGTTTGTTCTCCAGACTGTTTCTCAGCAGGCTAAGCACTCGTTTATCAGCGCCGGTATTGCTCGGCGGCTCGGTGGCTTGTCCGCCGGAAGTGGCTCCCGAAGGCAGCCCGGGGCCGGCCGTTTTCTGGCTCTGTCTGTAACTCGGGTACATTGACGGTTGGCTAGCGTTGGCCTGCTGCGGCAGAGAGTGCACGTTCGTGGGCTTCGTGATCACCGGATGGACGTACGACGACGAACTGTAGGTGACCTTAGGCTCCGCGTAGCTCCTCTTATCACAGTACGCTTGCTGATATCTGCTCGACTCGGACGACGAGTATCCGCTGTCCGACCTCTGCTCGTAAGTGTTCGTTCCGACCAGCGTCCCATTCGGCAAAGGAACCGGCATATTCATCTCCTGCCTGTTCATCTTCTGTTCGTACAACGCTCTCGCGGTCGACAGCTTCTGGTGGATCCACGTGTCGAGCCTCGGCTGTTTGTTCGGCCCGCCAGTGCCGTAAATCGTGTCGCCGGGCCTCTTCGAGGTCGTTCGGTCCCTCTGCGGCGGTGGCTGGGCGAACTTGCTCCTGCTGTCGAGGTAATACTTCGACGGGTCGGACGGGTAGTCTTGGAGAGGCAGAGCGGGCGGCCCTATCCTCCCAGGGTCGACCATCGACGACGGATACCTGGAGGACCTGGAGGCGGCGGAGGAGTCGTTGGCCGTCAGGTAGGAGGACGACGATGCCGGCGGAAGAGGCGTCGACGCTGTCGCCGCGTCGTACACCTGCGTCGTGGGCAGTGAAGTCTTCTTGAACGTGGACATGTGGGGCAGTGGAGCGGTGTTGTTAGGATGCTGCGAGGGTACGGATTGCGGGGGCGGGGCGTACAGCTGCTGCGACGAGCTTCTCCGCTGAAGAGCGTTCTCGTGCGTGGGCGGTTGCCCTCCGTGATGATGACGGAGCGGCGTGGAATTGAAATCCGGCAAGAAGTCGACCTTCGGCGCGCACACCGTTTGAGGGGTGGACGCTCGAACGCCGCTCGTTGGTGGCAAGTTTCGACCGCTGTTGCTGGACAATCGGTTGTCGTACGCTGGCTGGTACGAGGCTGGCTGCGAGGGGGCTTGCGTCGGGGGCGGTAACATGGTTCTCGAACTGTTGTTCCGCGACGAGATCACCGTCGAGCTGCTGACGTGTTTCTCCGGCGCGACCGTCTCGACGTCGTCCTGTGCGGTCGAATCCGCGGATGTTTTCACCGTTTTAACGGAGAGATCCAGGGGAGATTCTCTCTTTCGCACGCCATTCGTTTGTGGCGGCGAGGTCACCACGGGAGAAGCGACGGTCGATTGAACCGTGGACGCGGTCGAATTCTGGTACGAGTACTCCTTGTACACCCCGTAGTCCTCGGTAGCTCTTACAGGCTGGTGGTGGTAGGAGGATACCGCGCGACTGGCGTCCGACGTTTGATAGTTGTGTATCGTGGTGGCTGGAACGGAAGATCTCGAGACTACGTGACCGATGGACGTAACGGTGGTGCTGCTGGATGAGTTGCTCCCTTGATGACTAGGCGCCATGGTGGTAGCGTATGTCGGATAACCGTGTTGACCGGTGTATCTGCTGTAAGAGGAATTCGTTACCGTGTTCGTCCTTCCGTTGACCGGCATGGCGTGATTCATGGCCGGCAAAGTGACCGGGTACTCGGAAGGTACCCTTTGAGGCGCGGCCATCGAGGAAGAGGGCGGCGTTACCACTGAAACTTTGTTCGTCGCGCTGGCCATGTTATAGCCGCGTTGCCGTTGCACCGATTGCGCTTTGCTCGCGGATTCTCGCCTGTTGGAATGATAGGACGAGAGAGCGGCGATGGGTGGAAGGTTGTGCGTGTTGCCGCTCTTCTGCACGGACGTCTGCTGAGATCGATAAGAGGTGGCGTAAGGCACCTCCATTGAGTTTCTCTTCGAATCGGCGCCGTTGTACGTCACCGGTTTGCTCGACTGATAACCAGCCGCACCGTTGGTGTTTCCGTTTCCGGAGCAGATCGATTGCGTCGGGCCGGGAATCGACATTTGTTGAACGTACGCCTGGCTCTGGGATCGACCGGACTGCGGATAGTAGTTTGCTTGCGTGTGAGACGACGGCGGCGGCGGAGGAGGAGGCGGCGGCGGCGGCGGTTGCGGATTCTTTTGGAAGGAATGATACGAAGACTGAGGCGGTGGTAGCCCGTACGGATTCACAGCGTAGCCACCGGTGTTCGGTTGATAGTGCTGCGACGTGATGGGAAGGTTGTACGAGTGAGGGGTGGAAGTGGCCGGAGGCGGCGGAGGATAAGTCGGCGAATGCGGTTGGAAGCTGCTGTGCGGCGAGGGCGTGTGATGAGGAGAGGCATGAGGCGTGTGCAGTGTGGACACGTGAGGCGATTGTCTGTGCGGTGACGGGGTAGCATGATGAGGAACGTCGTGGGGAGAAGCGATAGGATGATATCCACCGGTCAGCGCTGCCGGTGGTGGCATTTGACTCGAGCTGGAGGAGGACGAAGACGCAGCGGACGTCCCGTGAGCGATCATTCGACTGGCGTACGAGTTCGACGCCATCGAGTGCGGCGATGCGTTTATTCGACTAGAAAGCTGTTGCTGCTGCTGATGCTGTTGCATCTGAGATTGCTGCTGTTGTTGCGGTTGTTGCGGCGGTTGTTGTTGACCGTGATGATGCGAGGATATCATATTTCCAACGGATGGCAAGTGCGACGAAGGAATGTGCGCCGGATGATTCTGATAGGACGACGACGAAGAGGACAGCGACGGCGATGAAGGAATGTGACTTAAGCTGGCCGTGTGACGGGGGCTGCACGGGTTCACCGACGAACAGGACGGAGACGAGGAGACGCGCGACGAGTGCGACGATCTATCCGAGTGAGGCGACCTGTCCGTTGCTGGATTGCTCGAGCTCAATCGATTCGGCAACTGATGCTGCTGCGGCGCGCGATAATTCTGCGACGACGGCGAGCCATAAATCGAGGGAGTGCTCGTTGGCGTTGGGACGTTATTGTAAGAACTCGGTGGCATTCTTTGTTCCTGAGCGTGTCCTTGACTGGAAGCGGCGTTCGGGTTGCTTTGCTCGACCGGCGTCGGCCTGGTAGCCGGCTGCACGTTCCCCGACGACGTAGCCGCCGCTACGCTCGATGACTGATAGATCGAGTTCTGAGTGAACGGAACCGGGGCGCTCTTCGTGATGTCCGGATGGTGGTACCGGGGATAGTATTGAGTTCTCTGTGCTACGACCGGCGCGTTCGACTGCGATTGTCGATCGTTGGCAGTTTGATAAGTCGCCGCCTGATGCGACGTGGCGAGTATTTCCGCAGTGGAGAACGACGTCCTCGAGACGGGGTTCAACTGTTGATAGACAGGACCAGGTGAGTGCGGCTGTTGAGGTGGTTGCATTTGATGCAAATGCGGCGAACTTGGCGCTGTCGCGGTCGTCGGCTGCGAATGATGATGTAGATCGTTGGACGACGTCGACGTCGACGTCGACGACGACGATGACGACGAAGACGACGACGACGACGACGAAGACGACGATGGAGTCGATTGTTTCTGTGAGAAATTTAACGTCGACGAGGACCGCCTGCTCGACGGTTGCATCTCCGTTAAAGTGATGATATTCGACGACGAGGAACTCGGCTCCATGGACGATCCGTCATCACCGGGCCTTGTGTCTGGTACCTCGACCCTCGTTGGTTGAGGAGGATAAGGTTCGACGGACGGGCTCCAAAAGCTGCTGGAGCTGGTTGTGCCGTTGTCCACCGACGACGGTCTGACGTTGTTGAGATATCGGCTGGTTTCCTGGTCGTTGTTGCCGCCGCTGCCTCCGCTGTTACCAATGTTAGCGGTGCTCGCGTTGCCGCTCGGAGTCGATTGCGACGGTATCGGTAATGGCGGTGGTGCTTGCAATACAGATGGTGCCGGTGACGAGGGAGCCACGGACGAGGCAGTGCCATGGTCGTGCGACGACGATACGGTCGAGGCGGAACTCGTTGATGTCGCGAGACTGTGCTCCGCTGACGCGGCCGCACTACCTGTACTCGGTACCGGCAGTCCCTGGAAGTACTGGCGAGCCCCCTCTAATACGTTCGTGAAGCTCACATCCATGTCACGCCGACTGCTGGTCTGAAATCAGAGTGAAATGCCTTTCGTTATTCCTTTGAAAACCATCTCCTGATTGGCGAAGATCTCCTAATTTTAGATTCGGATTTCATCGGAAATCCACGCTTCGAGTTAATTCCAGGTACGCGTAATTTTCATGAAAATTCTAGATTTTCTAAACCCCGAGATCACTTTTCGTTCAAACTCGTCGATTTCAAGGAGAATTTCTCTCATCAATCAGCATTCGTTCGTATCATAAAGAAAAGTGGATTCGATCGTCGGAACTTTATTAAATAAAATTTCGTTTCTATTAAATAAATAGAATAGAACTCCGCAGGAAGGAAAGGTGTTTCGCAATTTATACGAATCTCCTAGGGCATTTGTAGTTAAAGATCATCGCGCGAACCACAACGAGACGCCGCAGATTAACGAAAACTCCGGTTCACACGATGCTGTCGACTGCCAGAGAACCAGGGAACCAGGCCGAAACATTAATCTTCATTGTCTTGTATTTGTCTGTTACGAGTTCTTCCCCTTCTCTCTCCACCTTACTATCTCACTCCCTCGCCTTTCCAACGATTCTATTTTCTCCAACGAGCAGCTCGAAGCGCAAACCGGCCCGATCTCGCGTTATTAATCTCGTCGGCCCGTAAAAGATAAGATCATCGCACGAGAACAGCAACCTGCAGAGGGGAACGAAACGAGATTCTTCAGTGAGACCAATGTCGACGTCGAGTTACGATCCTAAACGGTTCGGATTGATAGAGAAACCTCGCGACGTGGCTCAATTAAACGCAGCTCGGCTGGTACACCTGATAAGCACTCGCAGGCAGATCAACTCGTCGACAACTCTCGCGCAGAATGAAGTTCGAGTATCGTGCAACTTCATTTCTTCGAACGCGCAACGAAATTAACGTAGATCCGGATCGAGGAATCTAGCGTTGTGCTCTATTGATTAATTAAAAATTACGAATAGAACGATCAAGAACGGACAAACGAGTTTTATTTTGCAATATCCAAATAGTCAGTACTATTTTTCTGTCATTGAAGGAAGAATTGTAACTATACTGTATTGCAAAATACACTTAATTAACAAAATAAACGGAAAAGAAATTGAAAATTACGAAACCACAATTCTTAAAAATAATTAAGAGTTACAAAAACGACTAAAATTATAGCGGTATACGAAGACTATAGTTGCCAGAGTATACTTCGGTATAAATTTCATCCGATGGAAAATCTAACTACCACGTACCATCGCGTATCAATTATCATACCATCACCGACTGCACACTAGCTGCATCTTCGTTAATGACTAATTCAAACTCGTTATTGATCTACGTCATTCGCAACTATGCTCCGGAGCGTAGGGATGCAACGACTTCCACGACGGGAGCAGCAGGAAGCTCGCCATTTATCAACGTCCGTATCGCGATTCATATTTCCAGCGGAACCCACGTAACTCGGCATCAACGTCTCCGAATCCTATCGAATTCTATTCTATCCAACAAATCGGTGGGCTGTCTGATCGGACTGCGCCGGAGATCTTATCCCCGAGCGGAACAGTCGCTCCGTCGAGCGGCGATCGTTATCGATTATCGAGAAGCCGGAGGATACGGAGATACGACGAATGCACAGCCACGAGAGAGAGAGAGAGAGAG